ACCCAACCTCTTCCTCTTGACTTCTCCTGTCTAGGCTTGGGCAGCCTGGCAGTAGCCCAGCCCTCGTGCAACCTTTGAGTAGCATGGCAGGTAGGCAACGGAAGGGTGCTACAGCTGAACGATATATATATATATATATATATAGCCATGTCATCCATTAATGTATACACATATTTTGTTGTAATGTATCATGCATATTATTCTCCATACCTTATTGCGTTTGAAATACGATTCCCATGCACTTGGAACAGCAAACGGAATGAACTTTGGTGTCAAATTTGTTAGCGGGATCTCATTGACTGAAACAGAGGGTGCGTAAGTTTTCCGTTGTCCTAGAACCAGTCTCGATTCGCTGTTTCACTTTCGTTTGAATTGTCTCATTGGTTGTCCTCACCAACTAAAGTACATTCTCTGTAGTGAAATGTCAAATGAGGATTTCTTGATAAACCAGCCTGCCAACCACAAGATGAAGAGATTAAATGTAACTTCATCGTCATGTATACTTTTGAGGTCACAGTTCGTATTCGAAACTAGTTGAATGAGGAGCGATTCGTCAAAATCTTTGACTCCTTCCACACTTGCAACGTCAGAATAATCGTTTTTCAATCACCTCGAATTGTTTACTTGCTAATCGGTTTGAAGTTAGAGCTCCTGGTTCATGATGTAGCGTAAGTAGACGGGGTTTGTCTAAAACAAGGCATAACATTAAATTAAATTCTCATGAGTCAGTGGCAAACTTATCGACTTTGTTCCGCTCATATACACTCATTTGCCTATCAGTGTGTTTTCCACGGGGATAATAAACGGAATTTCTCGTTTTTGTGGTATTCTTCAACTAAATGTGCTGCACAAAGGCCACTGCCTCATGTTTCAATTGGTACAATATTGGAGATATCGCAGTATACTCTCATAAAGGGACCTACTCACAACTTTGTTGAAAACGCTTCGAAGGTCCATGACCGGTCACTTTCTGTTGGGGGGCTCATCAGGTTGATTCAGCTCAAGTAGAACACAAGGTTGACGAAATCCTGGAAAACGCGCGTACCCGAAGAGCGAAACTGGCTATGAGCTTTTGAAGAGTTTCCAGTGTCTGTGCTAACAAGTTTCGTCTCGCCACTCACAACGCCGTTCAGCCAATCCAGGCCAAACGGTCGAGTGTTCAACTACTGGCCCGCGGGTTCAAAACTCCCTGAGGTTGCACACTGCTGATACTTCTCAGTAAGGACAAAACAAAAGTGCAGTGTTCCCCGGCTTTTCAGCATGGATTAGCCTTGCCAACAGGACAGAATTGCTTGAAAATTTTCATTTCCTCGTCCAACTACGGCGGCATAATGTTTTCAATGACGTGATCTGCGTTACTTATCCATACGAATGAGTTTTGTTCGAGTGATCATTATTACTTGCACCTACTCACAGAGTTGACTAAGAAACCTGGACTAGCTAAGATTATGCCCTTGGATGATCGATCTCATCGCCGGTTGCGTCAAACATACGTTATGAGCTCAAGTGTTAGTGTGGATAGTACAGATGTAAACCCCATTGAGGAGTTCATGGTATACAATCCGGGATTCGACTTGAATTTGAAACATCCTGGCAAACCAATACTGAATCGAAATCGGTCGCCACGTCAAGGAATGCCCACATTTCCTGATTTCTTCAGAAAGACTGGGAATGATGGAAAAAACAAATTCACCAGAATTTTTCAGTCCTTTGGGAGGTTTGATATTTCACCATTCAATTCAGCTTTCGTCGTATCGAGGCAAAGTGAGGCTTCTCGGGAATGAGGTTCGTAATCGGCGATCGGCATCAGCGTATTTTCTGTTGTATTGATTCTTTCACCATCTGTTTTTTGAATTTTACTTGTTGACCTGCTTGTTTCGGTAGAAACGTAATTCTATGGATGGTCAGTATATCACGGTGCTTACTCGCTTTTGCAGCCGTGCAGCATGAACGTGGTCCAAGAAACTCAACGCTGCGTCATCAAGTCGCACTGTATTTCCACGAACGTGCCAGGCATGGTCACATGAATACAAATCCCAACTCTTCTTTCCGAGAGCGCAACACAGTGTCTGCGAACCCCACTTCTACTCCCGTCTCATCGAGCTTACTGCACAAAAGATCACCACTGACAGATAGCGCGACGGAACAAGCCGAACGAACCTCCTGTCGATCGTTCGCGTCATCCGAGAGATCCCTACCGTTCCCTCTTGGATATCACAAGCTATCTGCATCACCTCCATCGGCAACGCATTTGATTAGTCGAATCATTCAACCGCTGGAGCAAGATGTATTCAACGCTGAAGCCAACGGTGTCTCACATTTGGCCAATCAAAATGCATCCTGCTGTGGAGTCTCGCCAATTTCTTCAGCCTACACTTGGGCGACCTCGGGGAGTGCAACGCATGTGCGCGAGTCCAACACGGAAGCTGAGCATTCAACTCCGACTAATTGGATAAAGACAGGCGATTCATTTCACAATAGTGCTCAAACCAACCGATCTCTACCGTTCTCTTACGGCGGTACTGTGGAGGCGAAAGAATCTTCGCTCAATACCATCAACCGTTCCTCTTCGTTCCCACTTTTGGATAATGAATCCAGTACCATTCCAAGTGAGACAGATCAGTCCGAACGATTTCACTCAAACTTTCTTCCTCCTCCTGCGGGTGCCAGTCAGGCAACCATCTATCCTTGGCTTTATGGAACCAACCTACCGTCCTATCTTTATCTGCAATCATTTCTAAATCAATATTTGGAACGCAGCCTTTCCCAAAATCCTCTCCTCCGAAAGAGTCCAGCGTTTGCTCATCCACTCATCTCCCCGTTTATGCCAAACTCGAATTTGTTCTCCGGCCTTCCATCATTGAATCCCGCTCACGCAGGACGACATATGCCTTCAGTCGCTCTGGCAACAATGGCTAGAGCAATGGCGGAAAATCAACTGGCGAAGAATGATGGTAAGTTCGAAAGAGATGTTTATTGGACATTTTCAGCTCAAGATAGCTTTGTGTTGAGGCACAGACTTACTGATCAAAAGGTTCCGCATCTCGAATGCTCCTGACTAGGCTTGAGCAACCTTGCAAGCTTTCCGCCCTCGTCTCTTCGGGTATCATGACAGCTATGCAATTTTGCGCTGGGTGAACGAAAATGTAGTGTTCTATGAAAAAAATCAAATGGTAGTATGTCTCCAGGACATAGGCATTGGTATACTCTCGAACTAAGTCTGGGTTGAGTAGCCAGCTCCCGCCTCTTCTGGGTCATAACGAATGACATTCGTTCAGTGCCACCCGAAATCCCATGAAAAAAACTCTAGTTACCCTGAATTCAAAATGCTGCAGTCGAACTTATTCCACACATTCGGCTTTAAAATCCATTCATTGCAAATAATTCACAGGGAAGATTGGAGGTCATTCTGGAAGTATGACTTTTGTCGTGCAGTAAACGTTATCAGGTGTGGCATTCCGGTATGCATTTTAAAATTTTAGTGGTTCGATCTTTTCTAGAAGGTAATGGACCCCAATTCTGTAGTAAGCACGGTCAGCTGCGTAGATCTACCCCAGTTGCAGGTCTCAGCCGCTCTTGATTGGCGGACCACTATATGGTCATTATACTGTGACGCAGTAGCTACGTTTTTGGTGATTTAGGATATGCTTGGCAAATTTATGCTACTAAATAATAGATTTCACAGACACTGGAGCTTCCCTTATCGATAAACCGGCGGAAAGTTTTCCCATCTGTGAAAGTCGCACCAGTGTAAGCTGATCGACCAATACAATACTTGTTGGCTCTTCTTGTTGCGCATTAATCCACCATAAATGAATGAAGGCTTCATTGAAGGTCGCATTCAAATATCCAGTTGAAGTGGAATTTAACCAGGTTTATTCCTCTTAGCATGGCCGTAATTCACCCATAGTTCATTTATCATCTTCACTTGTTTAAAGCAAGATAAATGGCGCGACATAGCACGAATATGGCACATATTGTTATCGAATCCGAGGGACTTTCCGGGCGTGGAAGAATATGTCTTCCGAGTTAGAGCAGCGCGCCAAAGTCTTCTTTTCGTCATACCAGAGTATCAAGTGTCTTACTTAATTGATTCGGCCAGAAGGCAGTGGATCAGTTCACCTAACCTCTTTGCTTTCACAGCCCTCTTACGGGTACTAAGTTATGAATGCGTGTAACCAGATACCAAAGTTTGTTCAAGGTCACACAACGATGACCGTGCGCAGTTCCTTGTATTTTCCCAACAGCGTATAACTAATTGCCGTGATAATTATCGCGCACCACGAACCCTGGGACAGAGAAACAACACTCGGTAGTTTGCACTGAGGGTTCAAGAAATGTAGTTGGCCAAATGGTTGTTTTTAGTACTTAAGTCTAGCCAAGCTAAGTCAAGATTAGACTAAGTAGGCATATCTTTGTAATGTACTACTCACAAGGTTGCTGAAAATCCGTCGACAGCCCATGACCGGTTTCGCCCTTCTTGGAGCTCAACAGGTAGGCGCAGTCCCGGGTTTCCATCAACGTTATGTTCTACTTGGAACCAAATTGCACGAAATTAGCGAATGTACACTCATTCGCAAACTAATTTGGTTTTTCGAGAGACTCACCTGGAACCCAACTGAATCTCTCGCCCCAAAAAGGGCGAAACCGGTCGTGGGATGTCGACGGATTTTCTGCAACCTTAAGTGTAGGTCATTACAAAGATATACATGTAACGCGACATCTCGAATACTGCAGCGACTGAAACATGAGGCGGCCTGGTGCAGCACATTCAGTTGCCTGAGAACATCACAAACTAGATATCCAGCTTGGTTCCAGGTGAGTCACTCGAAAAACCAAATTAGTTTGCAAGTGAGTGTATATTCGCTAAGTAGGCATATGTTGCAGAACAATGAAATGGCAGGCAGCTGACGTGATCCACTGATTTAGATAACTGGGTCATGGAGAGCTAGCATTTCCTTGTGACAAGTCATGCAAACAAGAATTGTTTGAGATACTGGCAACAAATTCGTTTGGCTGTGCGAGTTTCCTGTTTTCGTGCTTTGTACTGTGAAAGTTCGCTACTAGAGATCAGGTAGGACATTATTTCAAGGACAAAGGAAAAACTGCCCCAAGATTCGCCATGAGTGCACAGCAACTGTATCAGGAAGGTCAGATTCCTAAGTGTAACCTCAGAACACCCGGAACCTACTGCTTCACCCAAATCTCAACAGCAAAGCCGGCAATCATCCAGGCCAGTCAATCATTCAATCAATTCAGCAAAAGCTGATGAGTCCTCATTCACGCCACAGAAGCATGACCGAATGTGATCAGCGTTCAGGCATTTCATAGACGCCCGATCGATGTTGACGGGTGTTCACTAACGCTTATTAGACACCCTGGATCAGTGTCAGAAAGTCCCTTTTGAATAGCGTGGGGCCGTTGTAACTTTTGCTCTCGCGCTCGCACGCACTCACGCTATCGCACTGGTTTGTTCGGAATATAGCGGTTGTGTGCCCTTCGGTATGCAAACAATATTAAATAATCTAAATAATTCTGCCTCACGGTTCGGCATGCGCTTCACACCTGCAAAGTGTAAAGTGCTACTGCAAGACTGGGTGGACTCGAACCCTAGCCTCGTGCTTGCGGATGAACCGATTGAGGTAGTAGACAAATTTGTTTACCTGGGCAACTGTATCAGACCCAGTGGTCTCACCAAAGATGAAATTTCCATCCGGATTGGGAAGGCCAGAGCAGCTTTTGCGCATCTACGTCACCTGTGGCGTAGGCGTGATATCAGCTTCTCTGTCAAGGGTCGAGTTTACAATGCTGCGGTGCGCTCCATAT